CCTCTTTCTAATGCGTTCGCAAAACTAACGGCTATCTTTGTTCCCATAGCTGTTCCATGGGTGGACTGTAGGTAGTTGCTACTGCAAAATTGAAACGAGTTTTCTTTCAATATAAGTTAGAGTATTTTTCTTAAATACTTGGTAGCTATAGGGGCTTTTCCCCGGGGGGTACTCCCATATATAAGCCATATAGGTATGTGCTGCCTCAAAGGGTAGGGTTTTTGCCTAGGGGGGTAATCCGGATTTTACTTCCCAAAAAAATCCCGGAATCGAAAATTACAATGTTGGACCATGACGGTAGTCCGTTGATTTTTTTTCTGTTGACGTTTCGTATGCTACTCAACATACATTTTATGTAAACATCAGTAGCAAGAAGCTGATGCTTTATTTATTAGCTGTTTCTTTTTTATAGATTAACTGTTAAGTTTTGTGCTTAATCTCGGTCCCAGTTTCTTTTCACTAATATATGAGCTTAAGTCTTAAGTATAGTTTTCACAATTGTAACGGTGAAAAATATATGTTTAGTAGCATACGAAACGTCAAGTTTGTAATAATAATAATAACGCGAATATTTATACAGGAGAACCTATCAGTTCTAATAAAAAGAACTGTTATCAAAAGGTCCTGTAATTATCTCATATAATGACTAAAAAATAAAGAAGAAAATCGAAAGAGGAAAATAAAATAAAGTAACACTAAGAAATCTAAGATTCAAAAATCAAAATCTGAAAAATTATTGACTTATAAGACTGAAAAGTGTTGTGAATTATGGAATACTATTGAAAAAACTCTTTTAAATTACTCTTGAAAAGAAACCTAGAATTTAAATTTCTCAAATGCCGCGGTAAAGTATTGTAAACTAGAGCCCCTTGAAAGGCAAAACTTCTCAGTCCAAATTCTAACTTGGCTTTGGGAAGTTTTAGTGAACAGCCATCGTTTCTAGTGCTAATGTTGTGTTCAATTTTTGTAAAATATCTTTTAAAAGGGGTACAGACGTTATCCTGAAGACAATCAAACACAAGCTGGCAGGACTGTCTCTTTATTAAACTCTCCACTGTCTGGTCTTGATAATTTCCACCAATAACTTTCTGACTTTGGCGTTCAATGCTTTCAATTCGACTCTCACGGGAACGTGACCGACAGAGACCCAAAGTTCCACAATACGTAAAAACAGGTTGAATCATTGCTTTGTAGATTTTCTCAGCACTGCTCTTGTCGATTAAAGGTCGGATTCTCCTGAGTAAATTAAATCTTCCAGATGCTCTTTCATACATTTTGTCAAGATGTGATTCGAGATTTACGGATGAATCCAAGTTTACACCCAAGTATTTATAGGATGACGTGGTATTAATCAGTGTTCCATTTACAGTCAAAGCTAGTTGTCTTCCATTCAATGCATTAAGCCTTTTAACAGTACCAAAGATCATACACTCAGTTTTGCCCAAGCACCAAGAAGCCAGGTTGTGACAAACTTCACTGAGACGCCTTTGAATGGATTCCAAATCTTTAGCAGCGGTGAAAATTACTGTATCATTCGCATATGTGATGATTGAGGTTGTCTGAAGAGGCGTATGCACATCATTAAAATGGATAGTAAACAATAGCGGTCCCAACATACTTCCCTGTGGAACTCCAGAAAATATGGGATTGGCATCTGACAAAACACCTTTGAACTGGACTGATTGGGTTCGAGAAAACAAATAATCAGTAAACCAATGAAGCTCCTTATTGTAAAAATGAGTAAGTTGAATATCTTTATCACCGTTGTCTGTGTTCCATTTCTTATCAAGCTACGATGGCCCAAGAACAAAAGTCTACGATAAAGTGAAGTAATTTTCTTACTTCGCTTGGATGATGAGAAATGTCAACAGAGAAAAAGTTCATAACAGACCAATCAGCGCAAACGGCGTTAAGAATTTTTTTAGAGAATTTACTCTTTTCTTCTCTCCATGCTTCTCACCGTTGCGTCCTGGCGGCCAAAATTTTCTCCGCAATGCCGCGGTTGCACAATAGGCGTCTGCATGCAGGCTGCATACATTGCAGGGGCTTCCGCACTCCACTCGTGTGTCTCGCGCGAGGGAGGGATAACCGGATACAGTTGTCCCTGCACTCAAACAACATCAACAAATTGGGGAGATAGCTGTGTACAGGTTAAGGTAGGAAGCATCGTTGAGTGGTCTGAACAGGGCCCCCTTAGACTTGAATGGATGCGAAGCTAAGCAACCGCTCCATTTCTGACGTTCTCCTTAGTATTGGTCTGAGCAAACAGCTGACATTTCGCGTCGGCAGCACTGGTGACGTCTGACATTCCTTACTTTTGACGTGTCATGACGCTACCTCGTCACTTCCAAGATCTGGATAGTGCTTCTGATTGGTCGTATCGCTGATGACGTCTTTTCACTGGAAAACCGCCACCTCGTTCCCAGGGTTTCTCTCTTGCATTAAGATAGATAAAGAGAGAACCCTGGGTAGGTACTGCATTTATGGGGACATATATTGTACCGACTTTATCTATTTCACTTGAATCTGTTGTCTCATTGTTGATTTCTTACTATTTCCACTGTTTTAGATCTTTTAGTATGTTTTGTAACTTTTATATCTTACTCTTATTACTATGTTACCCCTTCGAACATTCTAACTGAGTGAAATGTTTTAAAAAAATCTGTGTAGTACATCCCTTTGGACTACCTTAAGGTATCTAGGAATGTGTGTATGGCTCTTGGTGTAGACGTAGAGCGCAGTTGCCATTGCGATGTCTAGGACGGATCAGTATCAGATTGTGGTAAGGTTTAACTTTCCCCTGCCTTGTTTGACAGTTTATATGTTATGGCGTGACAGTGCGAAAAGAACTGAAATGGAAAAAAATTGTGATATGTCCAGGATCGATCTTGTTAGCAAATCCTCTTCGTACTTTTCGCAAAGAAAATAATTCACCTGAAAATTTTGTGAGACAATCACTCGCAAATATCGCAAGAGTAGCAAGAATAACCAATTTAACAAAATTTTAGACTTAAAAAAAAATCCCAAAAGTAACAAGGATTTCTCCTGCTACCTAAAAAAACCGAGTAAGAAATATCCCAAAAATAGCAAGAATAACTAATTTTACAAAATTCTAGACTTAGAAAGAAAAATGTCCAAGAAGGGCCTCGAAAAGCCAGCAAATATCGCAAAAATCGTAAAAGCAGCAATACCGAGTAACAAATATTGTAAAAAAAAAATAGACTTAGAAAGAGAAAAGGCCAAGAAGGGGAATTCTTTTCACATAGCAAGACAAATTCTTGTTATTTTTTTCGATTTTTGCGAAATTTGCGGCCTTCTCGTCGTTCTTCTTGGTATGCTCTAGTAATTTCCCTTGGATTGTGACGGAGAGAGATATCAGAAAACCTTCCGTTTTCGTAAACCTCTGAATGGCATCTACGATTTTTTGGAAAATCATGATAAGAGTATGAAAGCCAAAAGAAACTATAAAAGGCTTAAGCTGCCATAGGTTTGAGACAGAGAGCCTTCGTCATGGTCAAGGAAAGGAAAGGAAACTCTTTTTTTACTTCCGTCAACAAGAACCCACAAAAGGAAACGGATTTACCAAAGAAAGCTGATTGCTGCTTATTACTGTGAACGAAGACCGATTTGTAATGCAGACCATTTAACCACGACCTTACTCCCCAAAAAACGCGTCCATCTGTGAAAAAAATTGCGACTTGTCACGCAAAAATCAACTGAAATTAAAAAAAAATGACAACAGCGTAACAAGGTAACAGGTAGCCTGCGTGGCAGGCGCAAAAAGGGGAGGGGGAGGGGGGAGGGAGAAAGGGAAAAGGGAAGGGAGCGCCTGCTCTAAGAGCCTATGTTTTTGCATAACGCCTACCAATTTACAAGTAATCCGATTACGCTTACTGTCAATCAAGTGTCGCTACACTAGCCATTGCAGAAAAGCATTACACTCACGGACTAAAGAAATTCGCTTAGTTATTCAGATCCAGAAGGCACTTTGGAGAAAATTGGGTCCCTTATTCAGCCGTAATAAAAAAAAAGCTTTACGCTTCAAAAGAGGTCAAAGAAATTTCGCTTGCATCAGAGGGCAAATCCTGCCGACCAGAAAACAATAACTACAGTCAATCGATATGTATGTCATGACCTCTCAGTGTGAAACATGCGGCTAAAATAACATTTGCTCAGTATAATTGCAGAACCTTGATAAATTGGCTAAATCTTTCGCTGGGTAGCCCAACAATTCCATCTCCTGCAACTGGTCTTCGATAATACTTTTCAGTGGCGAAATGACGAGAATCGCCGCATTACCATTTAGCTCGTAGTTCTTCGCGCGTACAAACATTTGGTAAATTAAACTCTTGCCGTATCCGGTCCGCAAAACCGCCAGAACATCTCTGTCGACTAAAAGAGCCCTTACTGCTGATTCTTGCTCTGGTTTTAAAACAGTTTCTCTACCACTAGATAAATTCACATCTCTCAAAGCACTCTCTACGACATCCACGTCTACCGCTGCCATCTCGACTGTTTGTTGATTTGTGAAACGCGCATTTCAATATGTTACTCATTACGGCTCAGCCAATCAGGAATTTGCGGACGCCAGCGTCCGCAGATATGAACAAAAGGGGGTTCTTAGAGCAGGCGTCCCCTCCCCCTCTCCCCAATCCCCCTCCCCTTTTTCCCTTCCTCCCTATCCCCTACCCCCTACCCCTTTCGACGCCTGCTACGCAGGCTAGGTAACAGGGTAACTAGGGAATAGAGCAACAAAGTAACAAGGTAACAGGGTAACAAGGTAACAAAGCAACAGAGTAACCAGGGAACAAGTTAAAAGAGTAACAGGGTAACAAGGGAACAAGGTAACAGAGCAACAGAGTAACAAGTCGAAACAAGGTGACAGAGTAACAAGGTGACAGAGTAACAAGGGAAAGGCCACGAGGTAGTAACAAGGAAGCAAGCGGAAAAAGTTAAGGTAAGGCTGGGCTCATGCAAGTAAAGTCGGTACAATATATGTCCCCATACATCACGTACCTAGCGAACCCTGGGAAATTGACTTCGGATACCGTGGTAAACCGTGTTTAGGGCCACTTTGAACAGACAATTCTCCCTCGATTTATGGCTAGTTTTACGGCATTTAATTTCACGCAGAGCTATCAATGTAAGACATCATATGATCAGAAATGCAGTTGAGTCGTAGCTTTACGGACTACAAGCAATCATTCCTCTCATCACGCTGCCAGTTCTTGTAAGTTACAGTGTAGCATCTATTTTGTATAAACTTAAGCTTAGTATAAGCAGGTATAAGTCTATCTTATGTGCAAGCTACAGAAACTGAACGTTTTTTGAAACCAAACCTTAAGTCATTAATATACACGTTATTAGCTTACGGATACGTACAATGTAGCGTGGCAATCTAGCTAGTGAACCAATTTATCGCCAGTGATTGGTAGCCTGTTCACAGACCCTCTATTTTCTCTTCAAAGTCCGTCGCAACGTCTGTATACAGGCTAATAAGTGATTGGTTCTTTTCTTTGTACTAGGTAGGGTCACGGTCTTTGTCTAATGTGAAGAATTATGCAGATTGAGGATGATGAATAACACCCTTCGAGGTCTGCATAATGTTTCCCATCATGAAAGCCGAATTTAATGATTGACTTATTATTCATTTAAAATATTTCTAGGATCTTATAGCAACCTAGTAGCCTATGTACAGCCGCCTCCACCACTCAAGAATAAATTTTCCTCTGACGGGAACTGAAGGGGCGGCTGTACAGGCTAATTAGCAGCCATTGCCTCCCTGTAAACTTCCCTCAAACATTAGCGCAGCATGTTTCCTGGCACAGCCTGGCACAGATGTTTTTTCTTGCCGATAATCCTTAAAAAGTATATGTCATCACCCAAGACATCCATCAAGCATACTTTTTATATACCATTGCATTTCTTCGATTCAGTGTCAGACAAATTTGGCCATTTCATCTCCATAGCAGTGAACACCATTTTTGTTTAGTTCACTCAGGCATATGAACAGCCAGCAGGCTGCTGCATTCTGTAGTAATGAGGATATTGCATGGAAACAAGGCTGCTGTGACTATATTATAACATTGAATCCATGGTATATTGCTTGCAGTCAATGCCAGTTGGTTAAAGAATTAGCCAGGAATTGGAGCCAATCGGAAATGGTAAAATATGTTGAATGAATAATTATAATCAAGGTTAATACTCCCTGTTAACAGCTATAAAATACATTTCAACCTGTACAATGCACAATCCATGCAACTTTTACTTGCGGGTTAGCATTTACTACAAATGTAGTTATGCAATGCTGTCAAGCGGTATATTCTGAAATCTCCTATGAGTAACATGATTTTTCTCAGTATGAAGGCTTGACATTTGGAAACAAAGAAAGATGAAGTCACAGTTGGTATATTCATACGATTGATACCATGGGGAAAGCATTGCATAACATACTGACTTGTATCCCATACTACTCTCCTTAATATGACTTGTAAGATGACAAAACCTTTATATTTATACAAGTAAATTGCATGAAAGTGGCTTTTAACCCTAAGCTTGAATATAATCTGAAGTGTGCAAAATATCTTGTGAAAAAAAAGAGAATAAGGCTCTATAAAGAGCTTTTTCCTCACTTCCATTATTATTCTTAAACTCTCCTCTGAGTGAGAGTTTAAGTAGTTTCTTTGGATTTAAGCAGAAGCTTATTGCTCTCTAGACTGCCTAAGAAACTGAAATGAACTGAAAGCTTTAATTAATCTTCCAAGGAAGAGAATCCTTCACCCTCCCAGAGCGCATTCACTTCTTCTTGCACTCGGTGATCTGTTGGGAATAAAATGATAAAATAATATTGTACATTTTTTACTTTATCTCTGCATTTCAGTGACAATTCACCATTAACCCATGATCTTTGTCCAGTATGGTGGAAATTTAAATTTGATGCTTTAAAGAAAACACTGTTCAGCTGTAATAAAATCATCATTTTGTGCCTTTAACCTTTTTTTGATCACAAATGTCTGTTTAATCATGAACAACCGCTGTGTTTGTGGAAAATGTCTGTGTCTATACGTAGTCGCTCAGTGTCTTCATTCATAGACAATCTTATAAGGGAGGCCGAGGTGGCATCACCAGTGAACTCTCAGCCTGCATGGACAAACACAAAAGAGTGGTCTGGGCAACCAGGCGACTAGCTCGGCTGAGGCTGTCTGAATGAATGAATCAATGAATAAATGATGATGGCATATCAATGCTTGAGTAGGAAATTACTAATTATCAATAAGTTACTTACAGATATCATCAAAAGCCTCTGTCACTTCTCCAAGTTGTGTCAACCTATCATCCAACTCTTCCATCTTCTTTTTATAAACTTCAAACTTTTGTTCATTGTTGGCTTTCTTTTGTTTATCATGGCTATAAAAGTCTTCATACTTCTTCAATTTCTCCACAATCTCAGCAACAATGACTTTTAGCCCACTTCTAGCCTTCTGCTTCTTTTCGTCTTTCAGATCTGTGATCTGTAGTCAAGGGAAACAAGGTTTAAAATGATTTCTCCATGACTGTTTAATTCTATTAGTCACTTCCATTGATATATTAAGGTGGAATTCTATCAATGCTGAGAGCATAATAGATACTAAATTATTATTAATATGTACATGTACACAACTGCATAAACAAAAGAAGCTGTGCTTAGCTCAATAACTTTAATTTACTCATTTCCTCATACTCTGAATGTGTTTGGACACATCACACTGTCTTTATTCCATGTTAGCATGGACCTTAATGATTGTTGTACAGTGAGTACTACAATGACTTGAAATCATTCTATGGGGGTATTTGTTAGCATTTAATTTTGACAGTTTTGACAGACCTGTTTTTTGAGGTATTTTAGGTTCTTTTGACAGTCTTCTATGCACTGCTTGCTCTCTACAGCAGCCGCTGCAGTTGCATCTCGCAAGCGTCTATGGGCTGCAATGTCTTTCTCATGGAGTTCCTTTTCTTCCTTCCTTTTGCTTTCAATGGATGCTTCCATTAGTTTGCTGGAACCATCTAAAGAAGAATAATTGTATTGACACGACACATCATAAGTGTTTTTTTGTTTTTGTTAACTGGTTTTCTTTGCAATTTGACAATATTAAACCTAATAACTACATATTTAGTAGTCCAGAACTGACATTAATACGTTAGCCTATACTTTTTGCTATAGCACAGGAATTTTTCTGTGCAGCATCTGCTCTTATTGGTTACTTCAAAGTCACTTAGCATCTAACAATGAAAATATTTCCCACCAAAAGTCTCTGAGTGTGAAACACTGCGAAATTTGTGTATTTGTAGAAGTTTTTTAAAAATTTTATTTCAGTGTTATTTTTTTGGTGGGAAACAAAATTACTAACTTTCCCCCCTGCAACCAGTCTAACAACTGTCAGAAATATGCCAGTAGAGAAACTCAGTTCCTTACAGTTTTGGTTTTTAAGGGCTCAACATCACAAGTGATAGCATTGTTTTATACACTGAAGGAAATTAAGGGACAAAGGAAAAATGTTGTGGTTGAATGACCTGTTTAATGCCTGAATCATCACAAACCACAACTCCCTGTTAGTGACAGTTCTTTTTGCACAGCAATTTTATAAACGAGAGGTCTTTTCTTCTAACCTTCAGTCAAGTTCAGTCAAGTTTTTTCAAGTAAAAAAAGAAAGAAGTCATGTCTGACCTTTAAATTCCAACAGAACATACAGTGCAGCCTGGCACTTGTCATGTAGATCCTGGATTTGTTGTTGCCACTTCTCTAGCTCATCCCTGGCTTTTTGCTCTGTCTGTGGGTGAACAAATTATAGTTATAGGGTATCATTAGAAAGGTCAACTCATCGTTTCAGACGTGATGATTAACCACACTCATATACACATCAGTTTATAGATCTGAACATAAAAGTACGCCATTATTATATGCACTTAGTAGGCCAAGATTCAACAGTTCAGAAGTTCTTTTGGTTTTATTTTCTTCTTGTCCTATGAAGATAGTCAGGGGTCGTGCTCATGACAACCATGGAATCCTTGGTCCTGGCCCTGGCCCGTAATAACAGCCCAGGAAAAGCAAAGCTTGGAACTCTTAGGTATTCCTAGGAATTCCATGTTCCAATTACCTTGAAATTCCACACCTATATTCCAAGGAATTCTTAGGAATTTTTAAGAACTCCCAAGAATAAATTCCTAGGAATTCTTAGCTTCAATTTGCAAGGGCAAGAGTGTTTTAAAAAGTTGACAGACCTCAGCTAGTCCAAATACTATATCAAGCTGTTCAATTAATAAATAAACACCTCCTTAATCACAGAGTGACATTATAATCTTAGACTGTATACAGTTGCCAACTTTTTTTGAGTGAAATAAGTCAGATGATTTTTGTCTTGTCATGACTGCAATTTCTGAAAATGTCCCAGCGACCCAAGCCAATATCAATAGTTATTTTTTAAACACTCTGAACATCGTTGAAATAGTGTGAAGATGATCCAATGATCTTTGAGCACTTCAATCAGAAACTATTTCAAGCGGGACAATATTGTTTTAGCATGTTGTGGTACAGTTAGGACAGAATAAAGTCAACATTAAGTGCCTTTAGTTTCTGGATTATTTTCTAGGAAATTGAATCTTTGTTATTAATTATGACTTGTTCAAGAACAATTGATCTGGATTTGTCAGTCAGGTGGGAGAAATTGTCCTTGATGCATGAGATAGGTGCCGTTAAGTCTGCAAGGGTGATACTCATGCATAATGTGTAAGAATTGGTAGGTATATATTAATAATTCCAAAACTTTAATAACTCAACTAGACATATATGACCCGCTTTAATCTCACCAACTCAGCTGTTTCTTGAATTTTCTTTCTCTGATTCCTTTCTTCGTCCAACTGCCTTTCCTGGTCTTTGAGTTCATTCAGACGCTGCTGTAGCTTGTCTTGTTCAGCTTTGTTCTCCCGTAATTCTTTGCACAAGTTGTTGTCTTTCTCTTTGTACTTCTTGCAGGTTATCTCTGCAGACTGTCGAAGAGTGCCAAGATTTTTACCTTTTTAAATGAAAAAAGAGAAAATAACTGTTTTATGACAGATTCTTGATACAAGTGTAACTTTGAAGCTTTATTAGTTATCAACATCACCCCTGAAGTCCTCTAAATAATGAAAGTAGGAAATCAATATATATTAATGATGACAGCACTAAATGATGAGGACATGTGTTATTCAATATTTTTTAACAGTGTTGATTATTCAATAAGCTGTACATATATTGATAATATTTACCTATTGTACCAATGTCAACCTCACAGTTCTCAGTCATCATGTTCAACTCTTCAATCTCCCTGTTTATATCTTCATCAAGTTCTTGTCTTTTGTCAATGAACTTTTGTAGAGTTTGTGCCTCTTCCATCCTTTTTTGTCGGTCTAGTACTCTTTTGACATCATGCTCTCCTCTTGATATAGCGATATCTGTAATGCAGGATTTTATGGATAACATTAATATTGTCCTGAGTGGAAGCAAGGCAGAACTCAGTTACAGTAATATAATTTAATTATTATAAGAACTTCTGGTAAATAAATATGTAGCCTTTGGTTTATTATATAATAATATTACATACTCTGGGGTGCAACTTAGGAAAAGTAATAGTTGACCTTTTTTACTCAATTATACCTTCAACAATTATTACCCCATGTCAATTGTTTTCAGAGCAATTTGAGCCATTGATGCCCTTTTTTTCAACCAGGTTAATTAGTCATATAATTAGGGATATCACTGGGCTGAGAATTTGTAGTTATACGACAGCTTAGGGAGAACTTTATAACCTACTAAATTCATTTTGGTTTTTATACCATCTGGATTTTCAATATTAAGTTTGGCACTATTAATTGGTTTAATATTCAACAACATTAACTTTATTATATTAAACAAAGATAATTACATCAATATGGGGAATTTAGGAAACCCTTACGGGCTTTTACAAGATTGCCCTATTGTTTATTTATTTATTATTATTTTTTTACATCAGGTCTGGACGCCATATGCAGTATTAAATCTATAACTATAAATTCAACGATAAAATAATCCGAGTTTTTTTTTTATGATCCGAGTTGATCCGAGTCCAATTTTATTTATTTATTTTTTTCTTCGATCCGAGTTGGTCCGAGTCAATCCTAGTTGATCCGACCCGGACTGGCGGTCCGAGTTGATCCTGTCCGACTTTTGTACCTGCCTACACCACTAAGCATTCTCTAAACACTGTTGTGACAAAAGATACTTTTTAAATTTCTTTTTTGTACTATATTGTGATTTTGTGTTCTTTAAATCTTCTGGTATAGAATTCCACAGATCTGTCCCTTTACACTGTATTGAATAATAGCCGTATGTAGTTTGTTCAGACTGTAGAAGAAGAAGAAGAAGAAGATACTTTTATTTAGCTAGGGTAACTCCTACAGTTACAAAAACTGATACCCTTAGAGGCCCTAGGTAAAAAGAAATATAAAAATATGTTAAAAATACTTAAAACTAGTCCTAACTAAGCTAATAGAAAATATCCTAAAAAAGGACAAAAATTATTACAAACTATTGATAAAAACTACAAATTACGATTAAAAACTTCACATCCATGATAATAAAAAGCTTTTTTCGTATATTCTAATTCGATGGAGGGAAGACGGAGTTGATTACTTTGCCGCATTTTTCGCTGTACGATATCTCTATCAAAATAAAAGTAGTCCATTAAAAATTGTGGGCAGCGCTTATTTAGACATTTCTTCACAAGGTTTAACGCGTGAATATCCCTGTAAAACTGCTTATGTACATTATTGCTTCACCATGTAGCATACGAATGAAGTTGACATTTCAAAATGTAAATAGGTCAATGGTATTAAAAAGGATAGTTTACTAATTATTTAATTGATTAATAACATTACTAAAATTAGGGATCTCCAATTTTTGAAAGAGCGGCTTTGATAATTCAGTGTACGAGGCAAAAGTTATCACACGCACTCCTTTCTTTTGAATTTTGATTAGACTGTCAAGTCTTGTTTTGTAATTATTACCCCAGACAATATTACCATAAATAAGGTGAGGGTACATCAATGAGTAATTTGTCAGACTTAATAATAAATCCTTCCCTATAAAATGGTGAGCCTTGCATAAAATTCCTACTGTTTTTGCTATTTTACATGTTACATAGTTTATATGATTTTTCCACGTCAGATGCTCATCAATCCTTACTTCTAAGAACTTAGTGTTATGTACCTGTTTTATTTCAAATTCATTCAGCATAATGTTCAATTCTCTCTTACATTTTTTCTTATGGGATTGAAATATAATATAGTTAGTTTTCTTTAGGTTCAAAGTTAATTGATTGTTTACAAGCCATACTTGTACACATTTAATTTTCCCATTTACAAGGGTTTCAAGTCCTTCAATATTCTTAATTACCAGAAATAAACAGATTAGTATCATCGGTAAATAATATGAAAGATAACAAATTCGAGCATGTATGACTATCATTTATAAATAACAGAAACAGCAGCGGTTCTAGTGCAGAGCCTGGAGGCACTCCACATTTTATTGATTTGTTTTTAGAATAGGTGGAATTGTATTTAACAATTTGCTGCCTATCAGCAAGATAATTTCTGAACCAGTCATTACATAGACCTCTTATGCCATAAAATTTTAATTTCTGCAACAGTATGTTGTGATTTTAAACGGTGTCAAATGCTTTAGATAGGTTCAGGAAGATTCCAATCATAAATTCATTGTTCTCAATTATTGCCATTTTAATTTTTTCGGTGAGTTTCATGATTGCAAAAAGAGGTTGAATGCTTACTTCTAAATCCATACTGATGTCCATATAGAATGCTGTTTTCCTCAATGTAATCTAAAAGCCTTTTGTACATCAGCTTTTCCAAAATCTTTGAAAAGCAAGTTAAAACAGATATGGGTCTGTAGTTGGTAAGTTGTTTGTTGTCATTTGCTCTGTAGACTGGCTTTACTAGCGAGACTTTTAGCTCATGAGGGATCTTGCCAGTACTAAAACTTAAATTGACTATGTGGGTTAATGACTCACATATATAATTTGCAATACATTGCAGCACCTTTAGACTCAACCTGTCAATGCCAAAACCTTTTTTTGTATTATATGTTATTTCCTTTGCAACCTCATTAATTGTCATTTCATTCAGAAACATTGAATTATTTACGTAGGTACCTCTTAAATGGTTCATGGCATTTGCTGAACTTCTGTTAAATTTTTTCATAAGACTCAATCCAACGTTGATAAAATACTCATTAAATTGATCAGCAATTTCTAAAGGATCACTGATTGCTTTACCATTATTTAGAAAATCTTGAGGTAAAGCAGTTTTATATTTATGCATGCTTACAATTTCATTCAACGTTTGCCACGTTTGCTTTCAATTACTCCATTAAATTTCTTATTGTAAAAGTTCTTCGCCTTCCTTACCAGATGATTAAGCTTATTTCTGTAGGTTTTATATCAATGTCCTCATTTTCTTAACTTGGATTTTTAATAAAGTTTTTGTAAGCTTAAAATTTATGCTTAGATGACTTAACAATACCCTATCCAAGGATTCAATCAGTCGTTCTCCTTTCCTTTACTGTTGCCTTTTTTAATGGGAATGATTTATTTTACACCTCGTGAAAGGTTTTCACGAATAAATTATAAGATTCTTCACAATCATTTGTTTTAATTACCTCTTACCAGTTTGTTTTTCTAGTTCTCTTTCAAATGAAGCAACAGATTCATTATTGATGCCTTCTAGTGAAATACCATTCATTTTTGCCACTAGGCTTATAACTCTTCATCTTAGAAACTGAGAACACAGGTAAGTGATGCGATAAATTGTTGAAGAGTATTCCATTCAGATGTGTGCCTAAAATGTTATCATTGGTAAATATATTGTCTATAAGTTAAGTGTTGCAGTAGTTTTGGTAATTGACGCGTAGGTTTAACAGTCATAGGTAAGAACATCGCGGACATCATATGATTTACAACTGATTTGAGTATTTACAATTTTCATATCTTAGAAGCTGGGTCTTTATTAAAATAACCCATTATATAACAAATCTTTGACTCTTTGTCGACCTTGGATAAGACATTTTTGATTGGAATACTGGAAGACTGATTTCAAAATAATTTCAGAAATAATTTAAATTATCATTTGATGCAAATATTTCTTTCTTTCCATTGGCCGAGAGCCCACCACGTGACCTACAAATAACTGCCTACAAATAATGGTCTGCTCATGCGCAATGTCGTTCAACCATGTTTGGCTGCAAATAATATGCTGCTTATGCGTAAAGGAAACCACGCTTTTCTCCTTCTTGCGATCACTTTTGCGTGAAGGTGGCAGATTGTTTCGCTTCCCGAACATTTTCATTAAACTCGGTCATTGAACTCGCTTATCACAAAATATCACGATTTGTTAGTGTCTCACAGATCAATATTATTTGCCTCAGCTTTCGGTTTCAGTAAATAATTGATCTACTCGCCACTGACAAATCACGATATTTTGCTCAACCTTGTCCAATAATATTGTTAACTAGTATTTTTTTATAAATGCAATGATGTGAATCAAACCTAGTAGATCCTCCCCTGCCTTTCTCTTTTCTTCAGCACTATCCATTTCTGTCTTTTTCAGAAGGTCATATCTTTCACGTTCACATCTTTTGAAGTCTGCCAATGCTGTCACCACATCATCTGAAAGTACAAATTTGTCCGCAACTCCACTGCAAGCCTCAAGGAGAACCGCAAAACAGGAGCCTAGCAGGTCATTCACGGCATTTAGAGATGTGGAGTTCTTTGAAGCATATTCAATTGCACTTAGGAGTCTCTCTACCAGGAAGTAAAAATAGTCAAAGATCAGATTTGGACTACTAAACTGGGTTCAAATGATAACAACAACAACAACAAAGTAGCTGAAAGTCATCTTAGCTTTAATGGGGAGCTTTAGCAATGACGACGGTAACAGCAATGGAAATGTCAAAAAAGGGGTAGGTTAGATTAGCAAAACAACAACTTTGCACGTGCACCACACTTTTTTGTACATTTCTTTGCCGTCACTGTATGACTATGACATGAAAATGCCTAATTTCATGTTTTATGGAGGATGTAAACATATGAAGTCAAATTTTTCTTACTCTTACTAAAATTGAGTGTGGTTTTCAAGAAATCAGCTCCCGGGAAATTCGCCGACCTTTGATATTAAGTGACATTTACGCTGCCGTTGCCATTGTTGATGCTAAAGCTCCCCAAAAAAATATTTAATATCTTAACACTGACTGCTTTAATTACTTACAGTCTGAGTCAGTTTCAAAGAAAGCTCAAAGAATTTGGAAAACTTCGTTAAGAGACTCAGTTTAACTTAGCAAAGACAATTGCTAACAGAAACTCTATCAGATATACAGCTTCTATCTGCAGCAGCAGCTTACCATTGACCTCCTTTCCAGTGTTGTGGAAGGTTCCAAATTCTGGATGTTGAAGAATTTCTTCAAGTGTCGTCATGTGTCCCTTGATCTTTTCATCTGATGAGGAAAAGCAAATCTTATTTAACATAAAAGTGACATTTTCCAAGAGTAAGAAGCTGGTCCAATATCCTGCTTGTGGGTTAGGAAGGGGTGACTCAATCTGTTAAAGAAAAGACAATTTTGTAGACTGCTAGATTACATACAGTCTTGCAAACTTTCCGTGAGGTGCAGGCACCAAAGGGAAGTTTGATAATTAAGTTTAACCACTAAAAGGAAACATAAAAGGAATTAATAATTAATTAATAATCAATTCCTCCCTAATTATTAGGCTGTCTTATAAAAGTTCACTGGTCTTCATACATGTAAGTCAGGGAATCCCATTTGTTTCCAAAACATCCCAGATTTAGTGCCAAGTCTGACAAAATCTGAGTCTGTCTGATCCTTTGTTAATGATTATGTTAATATAATACAACCAGTTTGATCTGGATTCATTTAATTGTGCTGATTACTCTCACTAATTATAGCTAGGCAGCTGCATAAACAAATTGCTTTAATTTACCAGACATATCATGTTTTCACCTTGGCTTCAGTGTAACTTATTGCTGTTGAATTTAAATTGCATGCGATATTACGATCTTCATTACATTAATACAGGATTAGGATGTATTAATTTTAGCTTCTGGCCACTGCTCTTAAAACTGCATGTATAGTGCCCATATAATATTATGCTTCATTAAGGTATTAGATCTGCTATAAACCCTTTCATTTGAAAATTTTATTTCTCAAATGCTTAAGAATTTTACAAAATAAAAATTACACAGGCTTATCAAACGAGAGCTGAGCTTTCAGAAAATTGATATCCGCGGCGTCAATTTTCACACCTAAGGTGTTATTTCCAATTTATATCGCAGGCCCAAAAATTCAATAATTTCGTATTTCTGGCTTTCTCGCGATAGCTAGGAATTAAAAAAAATTGAAACTGACTTATACTTAGTTTGTTCATTTACCTTTAAATTCCCGGCAGTTGCCAGTAAATTTTTCCTGAAATATAGAAGTGAATGTTTTTTGAAATGCCCTTCCCAAAATATTCCGGGAATTGCCGAGAATTCAATACATTTTTCCTTTACATTATGTGAATAATAAACCTGACAAGTTTCAGCGCGGTATTATAAATCCTCATCTTTTTACATGGATTTGTTCCCAGTGCGGTCCAACAGAGGAGCAAAATTGCCCTTAATTCCCTCTTAATTTTTGTCACGCTGCGCTGTTTTCTTTGTCGCCATCTTGAATTCTTATGAGTAAACCGTTGTTCTTAATGTTTGTTGTGACACTGACCTGCTTGTAGCACGGAAAGTGGCGCGAAGATACGAAAATCTTCGTTTAAACTCGTTGTGTGACGTGCTCTCAATATGGCATCGTAAACAATGTTTTAGCCTTAGCAACATGCTAATTTGCATAATAGATCATTAAACTGCGGTCTTATCTGTCATCGACATTACAAGGATCGTATATCTGATGTGACTCTTTGAAGGCTTTTTACAGCCATAGAAATGATTTAGAAATATAAGAACAATCGTACTTAATTTGGGGAAGCAGAATGTAAGCGAATTTTGCTATAATTTACCCTGGCTTACTTGAAACTCATAACGCGTTATCACATGGCATGTTGTGCAAATTGCAACATTTCTGTCAACAACGGAAAGTATCACGTCAGATTTCAGCCCTGTGACTATAAATATTTGCAAAAAAGCACTCTTAGATACCAACTTTGGCCTTCGTTTTCTCGGATTATATTTAACAAAAATGCTTCATTTTTGGAATTTGAGTTCAGGTTAAGAGTACATTTCAAATATGCGATTTTATAAACATGATCATTTTTTGACTTTATAGCAGTTTCTATACCTTAATCCAGCCTGGTTTTAGGTGAAAAAAGTCGGGTTTTTTGGTGAAATTATCCTGTGGCAGATCAACCGTACATGATGCTTCCTTTAAGACAATAATAATTATTAATACCACTGGTATTGATATCTATATTAAGTACTGTTAATCTGGCACCGCCAGCATTAAGTCACTTGGCTGGCCTTTGAAACAAAATAATTTCAAAACCAAGTACCAGTTGTTAAACCCTCGGATGTACAAGCAAAATGCCCACACCCACACTGTGGTACTTAAGAGCAAGAGCTGTGGTAGCTGTTGGACACCTCTGGGTTTGCTATGCTATTTAGTAATATTAATTTGATGAATGTATTAGGTTTTATTCTGGAAGCTTATTACATTATTATTCTTACTAAGTATTAGTTATAATAAGGTGTACATATTGTTTACCAATTTTAGGTCTAGACTGCACTTTGTTCCTGCTGACATCCAACCCCTCTTGATCACTGAAGTACAGTTTCCCCCTGGTGTTCATTGGTATTGCTTCTTTCTGGAGAGGTATTATTAAAAAGAGTTCACACCTTAGAAATACACTATTGGAACTTAATTAAACTGACCACGTGCAAAAACCTAGCAGTGCTGTCAACTCACCCGGATAAATAATTCGGGAGACTCCAGATTGTGGACAGTCATCTCCTGGTCTAGTATATCTCCAGATTAGAGTCTGATATCTCCCGGATAATTGCCAAAATTGCTATTTCTTGTAGACTTGACTTTCTGACCATAAAATTTCAAATATTTTGCGTTGTTTGAGCTACTTCGGGAACGTTTCCCCATAAATTCTGGTATGCCACTGTAATTTAAGCAATATTAATGTGGCTAAATATAAACAGTTTATGTGCTATATACATCAATCGGAATCAACAAGCATTTTTGGCACAAATGATGTCATTTGTTGTGTGATATGACATCATCTATCATTTCTTCCCTACCAATTCTCAATATTTGATGACGTGGGGGGTTGACAGCCCTGCCAGTAGTAACAAAAATGACTGTGACTCTTTATCTTGATCCATAATGCAGGGTGGCTACAAGAATGTAGTTGTATAAATGAGGTGATGTGTTGCACATTAAAAAGGATGGTTGCATAACGGATTCCATGGTAACCACCTTAATTTAGAGTTTTAATACGGAAAAAATAGTTGTGGAAAGTTAACCAACCAACCTTGGTGAACCTTTTTAAGGCTCAGATGAAAATAGATTGTGTGCAGTCATTCAAATTGTACAAAAGTATTAATAAATTATGACCAAACATAAATTTTATGTGAGTTTATGTGTTAAGACGACCTCATCAACACAAATTACTGTAATAATTGGTGAATCAATTAAATGTAAATAATCCATGCAATTGTCCTTCATTTACTAACCTCTCTGATGTCTTTTTTCTCTGCATCGTAACTGCGCTCATTTTCAGCTGAGATATCAGCAGCTACTAGTTCAATACTTTCTTCTTCAAACTCTCGGGGATCAACAATCACTATCTGGTTGTCCACAGCTTCCACTTTATCAAAATACAAAGTACATATTTTGCCAAAAATATTAACTATCTTTGCATACAATAATGGCCTCAGCTAATTCTATCAACTTGACGGTTGATTTTCTCTTGACACTATTATGAGGAAATTGGAGGCTCGACAGGCAATAAATTAACCTTACCTTTTTTAACGAGTTAACTTGTCAAGTAGTATTTGTAAAGTATGTGGAACAAAAAAGTGTGGCTACTGCAGTTCTAAGCCCTCGTGTTCCATTCTCATTGTACATGAAGTTACCTTAACTCATTGCTAACTTTTATAATATTATTAATAGACCTTTTTACCGATACAGCGGCCATATTGAATTACTTGGATTTAAGGAGTATTATGGGATGCCCAGGGGGCATGAGCACAATCCGATGTACTTGCATCAGTATTTATGCGCGCTTTTCGGACCAATTTTTCTTTAAGTTTTCCTAGAAAAAGATTGTAATGGGAAAAAAAGATCGTCGTACCCTTTTTGGATGTAATAATGATCGCCTTTTTGCCGATAAAAATTGTCATTGACATTCTCATTTTGCCCAAAACACCTGTGTAAATACTGAGCGAGTGCCCCCTGGGCATCCCATAATACTCCATAAATATAATAAATTCAATATGGCCGCCGTATCGGTAAAAAGGTCTATTAATTATAAAAATGAACAATGAGTTTAGGTAACTTAATGTACAATGAGAATGGAACACGATGGCCTGAGCTCTCCTAGAGAGCCGTCGAGAAAAAACCGTAAGCTCAAGTGAAGAAGTGAGGACGATTGTGCAGACAATTTAAGGAATCGACGTGAAAATAAACATTCCGGAAATCTTTTGAAATGTATTTTGGCAAATAATGAACAACAGACTGTAATGTTACATAACTACATGTATGTTATGAAAAGTACAGCGTGTCCTCTTTGTCAAGAGTCAAAACAATAAATTTATCACTTTGTACCACCAAAGTGTCCGTAATTCCGTAATAGCGAGAGTGAGAGATAGCGGGAGTCATAATTCCAGTCAAATCCCTGTAGCTTTTGCCGGGGATCTGGATTCTGTCCGTAATAGCGAGCGTCCGCAGCACCGGGGTGTCCGCAAGGTGACAGTGAGGAGAGTTGACTGTATTCTAATCTATTTAAAATAACGTATGACTTGGGTACAGCACGACCTGGGCATGACTTGAAACCAAGTCAATCAATGCTAGTCTCGTGCATCTGTTTGATCTGCCTTCAGTTTCTACAAGTTCGATCGCCAAACTATATGGGTACAATGGGTACAAAGTTTCATTCTCTGTCACAATGTATCGCGTCTTATGTTTTCATTGGAAAGTCATTTTAAAACATACAAAACATCTGATATATAATAAATCAATTAAATATATGATGCTACCTCTAAAAGACCATCTGTCCTATTGAGCTTATTTAATTTCCAGTCTTAGTGTGAAGGACCTGGTTCCTCGTACTAAAACAAATACTTGTCTTTATCTGCTCTTTACACGCTCTACATTTTTACGAACTAATTTCTGCTCCTGTTTATTTTGATTCCCAGAACACGTAGCTTAATATCGTTTAACGAAGGCTAGAAATAACGAATGTAGAGAATATAATATATGAGAAACGAGAGCACTGCGTACTCGAGCTCCCGATCCCGGAAGTAAATCTTCACTATGCGGCTTCTAAATGCATAAGACAGTTTACATTTACAAAGAAACCACGTATTCCTGACAGTAGAAGTATAAGCTTACAAATAAACTTACTTTCGGCCGCTTGCAAAGTTTTCGAGGCCTCCGAATCACTTATTGAGTGACTGTAGAGCTGAAATTGTCCTTGGATATATGCAACAAATTCGGGGAATAACCTCGTTTACAACGCTGACAACGTCACTTTTCGTTGAGCGTTTGGAGAAA